CTATCTGTCTATCCCTAGCTACATAAGGAAAGAGATTTTGTGTATTGTACTGCTGTATTCTCAGCACCTAGAAGGGTGTTCGGCACATATTAAATGGACAATAAATATCTGTTGAATGTATGAGTGACTGTATGAATGAATACGGGTTATTAACTGAGCATCAAAAGCTTACCTTTCTAGCACCGTAACTAGAAAGCTATCAAAATAAGGTTTTTCCCTTTCCGACGGAAAAGTACAATGAATTAAAGTCAAAACACCTAGGATTAATGTAGATTCCAGGGCCAAAAAGCAACAAAGAAAGGGAAAGGAAATGAGATACAAACAGCCCCTGGAGTCCTGTAGAAACTCAAGGTTCAATTTCTAGCCACATAATCCTTTCCAACTGAAAATGCTCAAAGACTTAGAAGAAAAAGTATATATAAAATGATGGCACTTAAATTAAAACAAATTAACCATCAGCCTGTCTTTTTACATTTATGTACAGAAATGCACCATAATAAGATACAAAAGCTTCAGACAAAACTTTGTGAGGGCAAAGGGACTACTGAAGGGAGATGTCACTTTTACTCTATACATCTGAGTTTTTTAGACAAGTGTATATTCTTGTTTTATTTAAACAATATAAAAATTAACAAAATAAAGTTTTTCAATTTATTTCCTCAGGGATAATCACTGATTAACAGTTTGTTGTGTATTATAGATTTTCTTCCTGCATAATCAGATAACAATAGATAACTTTAAAAAAAAATAAGTTAAATGACAAGAATCTGATTCCAAGAAGACACAGTTTTCCCTATTCCTCCCCCTAAGTACAACTAAAACCCTAGATGTTACATATAAAATAAACATAAGAACATGCCAAAAGGAGGAGAAAAGCAGACTGTCTAGGGACCTCAGGATCCAGTCAATCAATGTGGTTGCAAGATCCCTGGGTTTTCTTTGTCTCCTATAACCCAAACTTGAAGGTAAAGAAATCGGTAACCTAGAAACACCAATGAGTACAGGCAAAAAAAAGCCCCAATGGAAGCCCACTCTTTCTAGTCAAAGGACCAGGAAAGGGACAGTCTAGCAACATAGAAAACTTTTAGACAATAATTGCTCTACTCCAGCCAACACAGAAAATACCCCCCATACCTACAAAGACCTAGACTTCCATCTTCACTGGGCTGTAATGACCTACTTCAATCCCCCAACCCCTCCAATGGGTTAGTATTAAAGAAGGCCAGGTAGAGAGCCAGGACTTCCATCCCAGACAGACAGTAATAGAACACCACCACTTACCCACCCCATCCCTGCAGCATCAGTGGGGACCACGTGGAGGGCAGTAACACAGCACACTTATTCCTCCCTGCCAGGGAGGACTCAGTGGAGGCCTAGTGAGGAGCCAGACTCTCACTGCCCCTCAGCAATTACAAGGAGCACCCCCTTGTGTGTCAGCAGAGACCAAATAGGGAACCTATCAATAAAGAGATGGCACATGATCCCTTTTAGAATCTAGCCAAAACATAATCTCATAACACAATACTCATAATGTCCAGGTTATATTAAAAAAAAAATCACTCAGCATACCAAGGACCAGAAAGACCCCAAGCTGAATGAAAAAGACAATAAATAAATAGATGCCAAGATGAAAGAGGTATTATAAATATGCTCCAAAAAGCAATTATAAGCCTGTCTGAAACTAATGAAAATATAAATTTTCATCAAATAGAAAAAAAAAAAAATATATATATATATATATGAACCAAATGGAAATTTCAGAAATGAAAAGCAAAATAACCTAGTTAAAATAAGATCATACTATACATTCTTGCTTTTACTCAATACCTAAAGAAAACTTAAGTTTCTCTGTATACACACATCCTGCATTTTTTAGTAGCTATAGTATTCTATCAGATGAATGAACTATCATTTATTTAACAAATCCTTAATTAAAGGACATTTATATTATTTGTAATTTTCACTATTATAACCCATGCATATTTGCATGATTATGATATTTTTAGTAAATGACACCACTAAAAATGAGAGTGCTATGTGAAAAGGAATGCAGTTTAAATTTTCATATACTTTGCCAAATAACTCTCCAGAAAAGCTACACCAATTACATTCCCACTAACAGTGTACAAGTGCAGTCCTACTTTCTCACATCCTTGCCAACAATGGATTATCATCTCAGTGCTTCTCCTTGTTTTCTAATTTGAAAAGTGAAAATAGTATGTCAATGCTGTTATTACATACATTTCTTTATTACTAACGTGGTAAATATATTTTCTTATTTTGAAAAGCCAAAAATAGTCTTTCTATTGAAAAACTATTGATGCAGGGATTTTTGTGAATTCTCCTTATCTTACTAATATAAAAAGAACCTTTGGTGTTTCACAAATACAAAGCTGGTTGACAGTAAATGGTGGAAATACATTTTCAACCATTGTGTTTTTTAGTTTTGTTGATCCTTTTTTTTTTGCAAGAGAGGTTTTAATTGGTATAGATTTCATTTTAGCAAACCAATTTAACTAAATCTTACTTCCGTTCAGTTGAAGAACAAAAACATCAACCTAAAGGGCTCAGTCCCAACTAGTTTTAGAGCCAATCAATCATAAAATCACCACCCTCACTATCACCAAAAGACCAGAGCTAGTCTTTCTGTTCTAATGAGAGAAAAGGCAACTCTGGTACCTGCTAATTACCTACGCATTCAATTAACAACAGTTTTCTCTACATATATAGTTTCCCCAGGTGGCAATGACTGGACTTTTAACTCAATTTTAAAAAAATATATAATATTCCATTTCCCCACTGGGAACCCATTCCTACACTAAACGCCAACCTGACAACCTACCTTAAAGCCCTTTTTATTCCTGGAAGCTAGACCCTTCCCCAAGACTCTCATTTCACAGTTATCTGTAAACCTACCTCAAAATAACCAGAACTCTGAAAACTACTAGACTGCTACTTGCCAGGTTATTATTATCACTACCTAGAGATTTCTGCTACCATACCATGCTCTGCCTCTCTTTTAGAGAATGACCTAAATTTACTAAGCTACCTTGGGTACTGTAATTTATACTGCTAGTTAACTCACTTGAGCTACTGCTTAGCTGGGACAGATAATAAAATAAATGCAATGTATTATTCCTTTTTTCTCTGGGCATCTGTTCTCCCAACTTACTTCTTTTCCCCCAACAGCCAGTAGGTTCTGGGGTACTACATCAGGCAAGGCTGCTTAGTTTATGATAAGTAGAACTAACAATGTCATAAAAAATAAACACAATCACTAGAATTATAATATCTGTGAAAATCATATTCATAAAATCATAATGAGAAAAATAGTTTAAAAGGATACCTTTTAATAAGGTGAAGAGGAAAAAGATTTTCAATACATATCTCTATACCGACATATCCTGATATTCCATTATTTCACAGAATGAAGAATTTGTCTATACTTTAACCAGCTCACAAAATGTTTACCAGTCCTTAACTACCAATGTATTAATTAACAATATATCTGACATTAATAACCATAATTATAGTATTAATGCTTAGGACTAGATAACATTACTTAAATTCTTCATTTTCTGCAGTCTAACATTTTCAAGTCATAACTAATTTCTTTTTCAACTAATTTTATTCATGTTCCAGGATACTTCCATGCCAAAAAAAGAATTTTTTAATTAAAATGTCAAAGCAGCCAGAAAAATAACTATATGCTCACCATACATGTGCTTAGCAAAGATCACAACCTTAGCTAAAGAAATACAGCAAGAGTTCATTTTCAACTTCTTAGCAACCTACAAACTATACATTACTGAAGTCAATTTCATAAAGTATCAAAGTATTACCATCCTGGATCAGGCAAAAATAGCTAGAAAGGACATTAGTAGGTTATCTCAACAGTTTCTCAACCAGGGGCAATTCTGCCCCCCAGGAAACATTTGGCAGTGCCTAGAGTCATTTCTGCTTGTCAGTATGGGAGAAGGAGGAGGGCCATAGCCTACTGGGTATCTAGTGTGCAGAAACTAAGAACACTACTAAACACCCTATAATGCACAGGATAGCCCCCTACAACAGAAAATTGTCTGGTCTATAACCATACAGTGATGAGGTGGAAAAATGTGGGACAACTGATGAAATCTGAGTATGTACTGCACAGTATCAATGTTAAATTTCCTGAATTTGATCATTTTCATGTGGCTCTGTAAAAGAATGACTCTGTCCCTAGGAAAGCATCAAAGTACTTAATAGTTAAGGAACATGTCTCAACTTACCTGCAAAAGGCTCAGAAAAAGACAGTATGTATATATGTAGAAAAAACAAATGATAAAGCAATGAGCCAAAATACTAAAAATTGGTGTATCTGAATAAAGGGTATAAATAAATTTAATTATTCTTGCATATGAAATTATAAGGGAGTAAAAAGCAAGTATTACCACACTTGTAAATTTCTTTTAATCAGGGAAACTTTGCACAATTTCCCTATATGTGCAATATAGCAAATCAGCTTTTTTTTTAACTCCTTTCTCAAAATATATTATCCTATCATGAATGGATACTTGGAAATTTGACCCAGCTAACTAAGCATAAATTGAAAAATAAAATTTCTAAAATGTGAATTCCACAGAAAAAGCTCAAAATGTTTAGATGTCAACCAAGGACATGACATTCTTTATTTTATCACAGTAAATGCATGGCCTAATACCCCTGCATTGTATATTTCAGGCTTTCAATACACACTGAAAGCTGCAATCATTTAGAACCATGTAAGATCTGAACACAATCAGTGGAAAGCAGGTGTAAGAAATACAAAAACATTTGTAAGACTCAGATTTTCAGTTTAACAATTAGTTCTGAATTCTTGGACTTCATCAACCTTGCTATTAAATGCATTTAAATGTGTTCAATAAGTATACAGTAACAGCTTTGTAAACATTTAACACTTTACTTTTGGGAAAAAAAACAATTAAAAATTTTAAATCCAGGAAAAAACTTAGGGCACTTACAGATGTCTGGGACATACTTGACTGTTGTGTGACACTTCCTGTGGGGGATGTAGGTGGTCTTCCACTGGACAAACTTGCCTAAAATAATGAGATCTTTATAATGTCTATAAAAACCGGAAGTTAAAAACTTTCTATTATCAGACTACCACAAAACCATAATAAAAGTCAAAACTTTTATCTATGCATGAACCAATTCAGTTTCTAGTCCACATGGATTAAGTTTAGGGCAGATTAAGAAAAAAAGACAAAGCTGAATGTAAAAACAGAGGCCCCAAAGGCTAATCTTATTTTAGCAGCTGCACTTGTCAGTTTTACTCTACAAGTCTCTTCTTTGAAGTGGAATCACCACACCAACAACAAAAATATTCCTATTAATAGAAATATTCTAGTAAAAATAAACCTTTTTCAGGTTTAGTTCAACTGAGATCCTCCTCTAGTGAAGAGATTCAAGATTAAATCTCAGACTGTAGTTTTATATAAATACACAGTAGAATAACAATGAAAATCTTTTGAAAACATAAGTATTTAATTATAAAATCATCCTGTTACCAGTAGGGATAGTACAGTTGGATTTTAGAGGTGCACATACATATTTTCCTATAGAAAATTTCTGGAGGGATACATATTTAACTGTTATACTGGCCACCTCTGAAGAGAAAAAAACAGCAATGAGTGTGGATTAGGAACACTTATACTTTATTCTTATAAATAATTATATACTGTTTGAGTTTTTTAGCGAGTGTAAATTGTGTACATAATAAAAAACAACAGAAACCTTTTATTGTTAAAATGTAAACATGATTCAGGTAACTATGCACTGCTGAGTCTGGAATTTTACACACCAAGTCATGACAACAGCATGACATTTCCACAGTGTACAGAAAAAGCAGTGGGACAGGGCTAGCAAAGGGCAACATGTAAAACATCCTTACACTTAAATTAATGTGGCAGCCTATTACATTTCCTTAAGAAAAAAATCACAGGACATCTAAGAACTCTGAAATAACACCCGATGTACTTGTTTTTCAGTAATTATCTGCAGATATTGTCAACTTTGGTCTCATAAATTCTTAACTTACTTCAGTCTTACCTGAACGGCAGCAAGGCTCTGAAGCTGGGAGCTGCTCAGGTGCTGCTGCTGGAGAGCTGCTGTGTGCAGCATCAAGTGCTGCTGTTGGGCTGCGTACATCTGCTGAAGGTATTGAGCAGCTGAGCTAGGCGGCCGATGCAATGCCTGCTGAATTACCTGGGTAAGTCAATTGAACCACTGTCAGATGATAATCTTAACCATAAAATAAAATTTTTAAAAAGTGGCAGTTTAAAATTTCACTGCTTTGATATTCAATGTTATCAAGCTTATTAACACAGTCTCTCCTAGTTACATATTACTAGAATTTACTAATTCACTAAAATTAAAATTATCCAGTAGAGGTAATTCACAGAAGAAAAAAGCATTTGAAAATAAGCATTTGAAAAAAATGTTCAATCTTATTAGTAGTCAAAATTTACAAATTAAAACAAGATATTATTTTCCAGATTTCAGATAGATAGATTTGAAAGACTATTACTACTAAGTGGGGAAATAGATATTCTCATACACTGTTAGTAAGAATGCAAACTGGCATAACCATTTTAGATAAAATGTGGTAGAATTCAGGGCTTGGGTATCAAAAGGTTTATGTATAACCCTGTAACCATTACAAGGAGTAATGTAGACCAGTGCTGTCCAATACAGTAGCCACTAGTCACATGTGCCTCCTGAGCACTTTTAATAGTAAGGCTAGTGCAATGGAAGAGCTGAGTTTTTAACTTTTCTGGATCTTAAATTTAATATAAATAGCCACATGCAGTTAATAGCTTCTGTACCAAACAACACATATACAGTTGACCTCTGAACAACATAGGTTTGAACTGTGCAGGTTCACTTACATGTGGATTTTTCCAATAAATGTATTTGGAAAAATTTCTGGAAATTTGCAATAATTTGAAAATACATGCAGATGAACCATGTAGCCTAGAAATATCAAAAAAGAAAAAGGTATGTCATAATGCATAAAATATATATAAAGAATCTATTTTATCATTTACTACCACAAAATCAACAGTAGGCTATTAGTAGTTAAGTTTTGGGGAGGTCAAAAGTTACATGTGAATTTTCACTGCATGGGAGATCCATGCCCCTAATTTCCATGTTGTTCAAGGGTCAACTGTGTATCTATGTATCTTTTTTTAATTCCCAAATATATCACTAGGTGAAAAAAACAGGTTACTGTTTTTTGAGTGTATAGAGTAAGTAGTATTTTCATATTAAAATATTTGAAAGAATATTCAGGAAAACATTAAAGTCTACCAACGGATAGTTAGAGGGGATTTTTACCTTCTTTTTTGTACTGCTGTAAGTGTCTGAGAAAACTTAACAATGAATAGATATTATATTAATAATCACATAAAATGATAAAACTATTTCTTTTTTAGAAAATTACTAAATAATTATTTTTTCAAAAGTTTTAAAATGCTTTTTAAATTTCAAGCTTCCTTGTTTCAATTGTTTCAACATAGAATAAAACTATTCTTACTAAAAAGTAATTCCTGGAAAAGTGTTAATTACTGTGGATATCAGTAAAGTATAAAATCTGAGACTGAAACTTCCTAAGTATAGGAAATTCAAGTATTCTAAATCCTTTCTCTGTCCAAACGGGTAAGTCAGACAGACCATGCCAGCCCTCTGCACCCAAATCCCGAAGTCACATCATGCCCACAGTGATTCTGACACAGTACAGAACCGTAATCTGACCATCAAACCACAGTTTTCAGAGCTAAGGAAGAAACAGAATCATGATCCTACAATTTGAAGGTCTGAGTTAGAATACCATGAATCAGAAAGCCATGAATCTCTTTAATGTCAAGAAAGCATATATCCTTGTGTTGTTTACTCTCATGTATTCATATCTCATCTCTCCAACTATAGACTCCTGTCACAAAATCAGTGTAGGCTTCTGACCCCTAGCTACTGGGGACTACAGACCAGCATTAAGTGATTTAGACTACAATGACTTTTAGGTCACGTATATCTATAAATGTTCTTCTAAAACTATAATGAAATTATAACATCAAACTAACAAATGAATAATCTACTTGATACACATTTTTGTCAGAGTGTAATGATCTTTTCTATTCTCAGTATAGTCTTTCATTACCATTAAATGCTACACTCTTAGGAGAGCAACTCTTAAAATACAAGTTAAAGGTACCACACATTGTTCTTATTTTGTTCCTCTAAAGCAGAACAGGGAGGGTAAAGAGAATTCACAGAACTAATAAAGAAAGCTGAAAGGTATTAACAAACTACTTAGGTAGTTCAGTAAATATTGATTTAATTACATGTTGAGGGAAGTAATTCTGATCTTGTAAGAATGTCCAGTAATGCTTTATTTTTTATTAATACATTTGGCTTAGGGAAAACTAGAGAATGAAATGGCATATTAAAATATTACATCATCTGTATGCTCAAAGATCTAGGTACTCTTCCCTGTATCTCTTGCCTCAGAGAAAGTTGAACATTAAAAATACATTCTGCACTCTAGTCTGAATTTTTGCTGAACTGACTGGTCTCCAACAGTTCTGATTCCACACCCTGGTAACTTCAGAATCCTAAACCGTAAAACAGTTAAATAGCCATTATACTGGGATATCCACTCAAGAAAAATAGAGCAGGGAGAGAACTGTATCTCAAGCAAGTTATTTTCAGGGTAGACTGAAATTATGGGAATTCTGGAGATTAAACAGGTATAATGGAAAAAAACAAGTCACAGAGTGTTTAAGAGCACATCTCAAAAATCAGAGAACTAGCAAGCAATGTGAGTTTAGGAAAGTTATTTAGCCTATTTAAAACATCAGTTTTCACATCTGTACAACAGAGATAATAACAGTATCCTTTCACAGAGGAGTGGTGAGATTAAAAGAGATAACCCATGTAAAGCATTTATCAAAATCTTGGCACCCAGCAATTATTCAACATGTATTAGCTATTTTTATTTATAAGGTATATATAAAATGTGCACAGTTCTAGATGCTTCCTTTAATCCTCATAATAACTAACAAAGTAGGTGGCCTTAGCCTCACTTTACAGCTTCATGAGGCTCAGGGAGATTATGCCTCTTATCCAAGGCTACATAGCTACTAATGATAAAGAAAATTTAATTCAAAGAGCAAATCAGACTGTAATGCCCATGTCTTTTTTATGCAATATCATATTGCCTCAACCTCCACATTATTATAAAAGTTAACCAAGTAAAATTAATTTTCTCAACTAAGTGAAGAGTCTAAGACTTTTCCTACTTAAATATCCCTTCCCTCTCTGCCCACTAAGAGCTGTAGAATGGATCCTCCTACTTAGATCTCTCAGGCCACTTGGATTTAAAATGAACCTCTTAACACATCTATAGACCTGAATAGATCTCCCTAAATATATATTTTGGGTTCAAAAATATCCCAGAAAAACCTAGAGCTACTCTACATGTTAGGGCTCTAGGTTGAGTGTCTCCACATTGTAACAGCAGATAGGGACCTTCAAATTACAATTTTCCTGACATATTTTTTATAAGTTACATGCTGACAAATGTAAGCCCTCTCAATGGAGTGATTATTAAATAATTTTTTCGTTATTTCAAACATTAACAATTCTAACTGTACTCATTTAGAGGATGCCATGTAACTCATTTGATGATATGAAACAATAGATTCATCTGGTTTAAGCAGAAAGTAATGACATCCTAAGTTTTAGCCTACCCATCATTGTAACTGAAATACCTGTACAGCATGTCGGTCTGAACCACTGTAGACAGAGATCTGTGGTTGTTGCATTCGAGAGGAAGAAGTGGTGATGGTGGTGGTAGTGGTGCTACTGGTTGTTGTCGACACAGAAGATGTTCCAGGGTTTGGTTCACTATCCATTGCTGCACTGTGGTCCTTAAATCTGGCAGATAACACAAAGGGTTTGTATTGACAAAAGCATTATCTTATGGACTTTAAAGAATATTTTATTACTCCAAAGAAATAATCAGCAACAGTCTAAATTTCTAAGAAGGCCCTCACAAAATACAGATATACACAGTCATCATAAACAAAAGAGACAAGTACTTCACAAACATACAGACTATTTAATAGTTAATACCTACTACATTTGAATTCAAATGATTCAGGATACTAACTCGGACAAAGCTTCACCAAAGTTACGTTTTCATTATTGAAAAATGAGTATTTTGAAACCAGAACAGGCGGTGAGAGAACAGAACTACCTAGGTAAATAAAAATTTAAGCAACATCAGGGTACTTGAAAATATTTATTTACATTCTTTTGACCATACTAATTACAAATTAAAGTCATTATTATCTATACATTAAAGTAGGATGCCTAAGGTCTTAGGTTAATTAGCTTAGTCTTTGGTTACCATATATACTTGACTTTAAAAATACGTTCTCTTAGGAAATCAGCTAATAAAAAATAATTGTTTATTAACTCATGCTGGATTTTCTCCTAATTAGTTGACAACATTTGTCCTTACTACATCTAATACCTCTGAGTTATAAGCAAATGACCCTGGGGAAATAGAGAAGCAGCTTCCATTAATTTCCCCACTTTCTTATCAAACACCTTCTTCACAAAGAATTGCTTCAAATTTTGAAAACAGCATAATTTTGTCACTTTCCTCATGTATGCACAATCAAGTATATTTTTATACCAGACTTTCTCATTCTTCTCCCTCCACTATTACAAACTCACTTCACTGTTGTTGGTAGAAAATTCTACTAAATAGAGGATCTGTATCTGAGTAAATTCAAGCTACATTTGAAATCCATTCTTACTAGGCCTCAATACTGTTAGAAACGAGAACTACAGATGTTTTTGTGGGTTTAGAAGTACACCACAATGGTGAAAAGCACACTTAAGAATATCCTGGTTTTATCTGCCTTTCTTATCTGTTGTTCCTTCTGAGAAACAAAACTGACCCAACTCACATTAGCAGCACTGACAAGAACATAACAAGAACACTTTCTACTTCACTTGAAAAGACAAAGGAATTCAGCACTAATTGTGTACACATACACTATTCCCATATGTTGTCTTTTTATGGACAAATTTTCTTTGTTCTTTATATTATTATTTATGTAAATAGTATTTATATCCTCTTCAAGGATTAAAAAAAACTCTAATAAGAGGAAAAGCGAAAGGAAAAAGGCAGGGTGAAGCTGACTCTTACTAACTTTTTTGATTAGTAAATGACTCACATCGTGAGGATTCTGGGGCTTTTTCATATAGTTTTTCAAACTGCCATCCAGTCATCAAATCAGAGTATCATATGGTGACTGTTCAACACCTCACAGATTTAGTAGTAGATAAGGTAAATAAACTTGTTAACAAATTACTGGATGTCATTAACACTTCCGAACCACCTACCAGTGATAACGCAAACAGCCAGCTTCAATTCTGGTCTTTTTAGAGGGCTACGCTGCACAACCATGTCCTCAAACCCAAACCCTATAACACGCAGTTCACGAAGTAACCAAAAATGGTCACAGAGAATCCAAATTCTAGGCACAAATCTGAACATCAATGAGTGTAACTGGCCGAACCATTGTACTGCATTTGGAGACCTGGCACAAAAACAACTATTTTGGTAACTCCACTGTTTACGTACAGTAATGCCTGCAAAATACAGCCTGCAGTCCTGGTGCACGAGGCCTACCCAGGAAACACTAAGTTTGAGTCGCTAACTAAGCATACCATCACACCGCCACACAGGAAAGAAGCCCTCTAGGGAGGCATCAACACTGCAGCTGGAGACCCGAGGGAAAGAAGATCCTTCTTTCCGCGGTGTTTCCAGCCCGGGCCGACCTGCAAGAGCCCCCGCCTCTGTAAGGCCCGCGCCGGGACAACACCTCGACGACTGCCGCGGAAGGGCGGTGTGCAGCCCCACGTCTCGGGCTCTCCACTGAGGGCGGTGGGGTGGCGCCCGGGCGGAAAGGAGGGGAGTGCAAAGGAGGCCTGCCAGTGCCCGCCCGGCGCTACCGTCTCCGCGGACCCCCGGCGCAGGCGGCCGTGACAAGGCTGCCCGCCCGGCCCACTTGCAGGGGTGACAGCGCCTGAGGGGCCTACCGGGGCTCATCACCCACGGGTGACCATGTGCGCAGGGTCCCGCTAATCAGGGACCAGACAGCGGAAGGGGAGCTTCCGCCTTGAGGTAACTGGACCCTTAGAGCTCGCCTCCCACCCCCGACTGGCCAAGCGGACTCTTCCACTATAAGGAAGCTCTCGGGTCTCCCTCTCCCTGTACTGCCCGCCGAAAGACCCTTGAGCTTTCCCCTTGGGGGACGTGTCGCTGTCCCCACTCGCCCCCCGGTTGCGACATCAGTCACCAGCAAGTCACTCACTCCGCTTCCGCCATCTTCTCTCCTCCATCACTAACACGAACTGCGCATGCGCCCCCCGGCGGCGGCCGGGGAGGCGGGGTCGCCTTAGCCCCGGGCCCCCGAGGTCACGTGGAGTCCTCGGCTTCCAAATCCCCGTCAACTTCGGCCCTTGCTGGCTCGCGGAATTGACCCGGGTTCCCCAATTGTTACCTGTGTCTCACCTCCAACTCTTAGCTCTCTTACCTAGGGTCTTCTTCCTCTTGGAAAAGGGTCTGTAACCAAGATATGAGAAGTTCTGCTTATACTATTAAATTTAAATTTTGAAGAACATCTGAAATATACCAAAACCTATACAAACCATGAAAAGTGAAATGAAAGAAAATAGCGCCAGGATTGGCTGCCTGGGTCTCAGAGGGAACGGGAATGCTGTGGTGGCTCCAGGGCTTGTTACTGTGGCACTTTGGAGTTTGGAGGTCTGAACCAGCAGTTTCTCTCTTGGGTTCAAAGATAGTGTTCTGGATGGCGGTGAGGTGGCTGGTTAAGGAATCATTCTGATTATCCTATAAACATCATTTATGTCTTAAGCATGAATTTACTGAGCTCTTGAGAGAGGGATTGCAAACTTGAATACCACAGGAAACAAGCAGGAATAGCCACCAGTCCGCTACTGTATGTATGGCCCCTACTCTGTAGCAGAGTGAGACAAAACATAAAGATGAATATAAAAAGTCCCTCTCCAAAAAGTCTTAATCTGGAAAGTGGAGTGTAGATATAGAGATATCCATGCAATATAGTGTTATGAAACAGATCCATTTAGTGCTTTGGAAACCTTAATTTCAAAGAATAATAAATCTTTACTGCCCTTCACAGAAGAAAGTATACTGATCACAAATGATGTCTTCTTTTTCTTTCTTAAAATGGTGGAGTTGCACTAGTTTCAAGTACTGAGAAATGACGTATTGATATAAATCCATCATAAAGTGCAATGTGTTCTAATGAAAAGTTTACTTATCTTAGAAATCTTGTGTTTCAGGATCTCCCTAGGGAAGAGAAAAGAACATTTCCTTTGTAAGCTCAATTGTCCCTTTTTCTCCTTTCCTGATCTGATAACATTGTTTCTTTACCTCACTTGCTTCTCTGAGAGCAGTGTCCTTCTTCCTACTACTCCTTGGAGAACTTACTGAGAAAGTTCCCTATGAAAAGTCCCTGTATTACTACTTTTTCTTTCTTTTCTGGTATGCTCCTATGAGGTCATTGTCACTCAGCCCTCAAAAATCAACAATGTCCATTGTGCATACGTACTGCTGAAATTGTTGTGTAGAAAATAAAAGTGAAGAAAGCACAGTCTTAGACCTAAACCTGGAAAGATGCATAATTCAAAGGAGTGTTTGGAATGAATAGGCCAAAATTGTTCCTTTTCACCCATCCTTTCCTTGAACATGTAAGGCCTATATCTATATTGTCACCTTGTGCAGATTGGCTTTAAAAGTCACAACATGCGTCATGTAAAAATCACACCAATATTGCTTTTTAGAAACATTTCAAAACCCAAAACAGAACTAACACTTGCATAGCCTTTTACTAAATGCAGAGGATTGCCACAAGCTCATTTGATCTTCACAACAACCCTGTGATATGGTTATCATCGTTCCCATTTAGCACAAAAGTATAGTGAGACTCAAGGTGACTAAGTGCCCCTGGTGACTGCCAGAATTTGCCAGTACTGGGGTTCTAATTTAAGCTTTCCATCTCCAAAGCCTGCATCATTCAGCAAGCTACTGTGTGAAATATTAGAAGAGACAAAGTATGATAAAGGACTACTCCAAAGGAATTGATCATTACTTATCTGATCAAACAGAGGTAAGTGTTTTCTTTACCTCTGCAATTTCCTAAGAAAAGGATTTATGTGGCGTGCAGCAGGTTGAAATTCTTTCTAACATTTCCAGGAACCATTAAAGTGCTAGGATCCTATTTGATTTCAGAAAAATCCCTCAAGCTTTGTAAAGGATGGATTAGAGATGGAGACAGGGAAACTGAGAAACTGTGCTAATCTATAGAGAAGAGATAAGGACTCCAGTAATGGAAGTGTGGACTGTATTAAAATTTAGTTTCTTAGTTGTATTAGTCACACTTCAAGTGCTCAATAACCACATGTGGCTAGTGATAACTATATTGCACCATGCAAATATATAAACATTTCTATCATTACAGAAAGTCCTATTTGACAGGCCTGTCCGGACTGTAGATCAGAGGTTGACAAACTACTATTTCTGTCTTAGTCAATGTGGGCTGCTGGAACAAATACCATAGACTGGGTAGCTTAAACAACAAACATTATTTCTCGCAGCTCTGGAAGCTGGGAAGCCCAAGATCAAGGTGCTGGCAGATTCAGTGTCTAGTGAGGATTCTTTTCCTGTTTTACAGACTGCTACCCTCTCACTATAAACTGGTGGAGAGAGAAGGCCATGAGCAACAGTGTTGGCCGTGGGCATTTGCGCCACTTCTTCAAATAGCTTACTTGTGCCCTCACAGCCTACTCAGTCTTCTCACATATATTCCTCTTCCTCTTGTTGATGGAGTGCTGCTATGCACTCCTTTATGGCTTTGTAAGCGAGATAACACTCAGTTTATGATTGGCAGCATAAGTTGCATGGTAAGTTGGTGACCTGTAGTTAAGCGTTCAGTCTCTAAGGCCTGGTAGCCAAGAGCGGTTTCTCAAAAGGAGAGTAGTTATCTGCAGAGAATGGCAGGGCTTTGTTCTAAAATCCTAAAGGCCCACACTGTAATTCACCTAGAGGGGCCTACCAAAGGCTCTAAACAGCATCCCTATCTGCCACTTGCATGTACTTTGTGTACCACTGGATCTGCTGGATCATATGGCCTAAGCACAAAGCAGCTTGTCCAGCAACCTCAACCTGTTGCAGAACCTTCTCTTGTTCTGAGCCCCACTCAAAACTAGCAGCTTTTTAGGTCACTTGGTAAATGGGATGGGGTAACACACTCAAATGAAGAATATGTTGCCTCCAATATCCAAAGAGGCCAACAGTGTATCAGTGTCCTTCTAGGTAATGTGGTCTCCCCTTCATTTAACGGTTTTTGAGGTCTGTAAACTTGGCTGGAGTCTGGGAATTGATTGAGGAGCTGTGACTCTGTTTTCATGATTTAGGTTAGACTTCTGTTTATTGACTTAGAACTTTTCTACGGATAACTATTCAAGGCTTCCCATCTATTTTACTTCTAGAAGTGCCATAATCAACCAGCCAATGATACAGGTCTGCACAAGTCAGACTGTTCTGATTGCTGCTTGGACTCTGCTGTCCATCACAGTAACCATGCCTACCTTGCCTTTTGTAGCTGAGTGCTGCCACTTGGCCCCCACCACCCTAGGATTCAATTACTCCTGTTGTATCTAGGTCTCCTAATTCAGTGGCTGTGGTTCCCACTGTAAGACCTGGCCTACAGAGAAAAACAGACTGCAGAGCTCTTCAAGGAAGCCCTCATAAACTGCTATGGACTAAATGTTTGTGTCCCCTCCAAAATTCATATATTAAAGCACTAATCCCCAATGGGATAGTATTTGGAACCTCTGGGAGGTAATTAGGCCATCAGGATGGAACCTTCATAAATGAGATTGGTGCCCTTCATAAGAGGCATGAGAGAGATGATCCCTTTTTCTGCCTTGTGAGGATACAGCAACATGGTGGCCATCTGCAAACCAGGAAGAAGGCTCTTACCAGAACCACATCTGCCAGCACCTTATTCTTAGATTTCCCAGCCTCTAGAACTGTGAGAAATAATTGTATGTTGTTTCACCCAGTCTGTGGTATTTGTTATAGCAGCCTTAACTGGCTAACACAAGCCCACATGCCAAATATAGCCTGTCACTTGTATTTGTACAGCCCTTAAGCTAAGAATGGTTTTAATATCATCTAATGATTGGGGAAAAAAAGTCAAAAGAAGAATAGCATTTTGTGACAAGTGAAAATTATGTGAAGTTTAAATTTCAATGTCCATAAATAAAGTCTTATTGGAACACAGCCTCACCCATTCATTTATGTATTGTCTAAGGCTGCATTTGTGCTACAAGGGCAGAGATGAGTAGTTGCAACACTTACACTGAGCTGCTTGCTATCAGGCCCTTTACAGAAAAAATTTGCTGACCTCTATTCTTGACCATCTGTCGCCCCATGTTGGACTCTTTCAGGACAGTTAGTATAGCACACACACTATCCTACATCCATGCTAGACTGTGATTGCTCTCACAGGATCCTATGTGGTGAGGCAGACCCTGATTTCAATACTGGGCTCACTGCTTTACCAAGAGAGCCACCTTGGGCAAGTAATTGAACTGCTTCAAGTTTTAATTTCATAATGTGAAAAAAGAGGGGATGACAACACCTTACAAGTTTGTTGTGAAATCTTAAAAAAACCAAATATGAAGTCTAAAAAAAGTCCTCTTTTCCTTTTTTAACTTTTTTAAAAAAGTAAATAGTCTTCAACCAGATTTGCTCATTTAATATTACTGGGTATGCCGAATAATAGGTTTTAAATATTTGTTGAGGGAATAAGTGCTTGACTATTTGGGTGAAGGAAGCATAAAATTCTAATATATCCTGGAAATTAGAATAACACAATATATAGACTTGTTTTCTCTTTTCCTTGAAAGTAGTATACCAAAACCAAATACTTTTATGAAACTAAGTAGTATTAAAACTGAAAAGACAGTCACTGGTCCTGCCACCTCTCATCTGCTCTTGTGGTAATAAATAGTACATTAATCATATGCTTATCAGTCTTACCTCTCTTGTAGGTGGCACTGTACGCAGTCTGCTGTATCACTCCAGGTGCTAAATAGTAGAAAGACGGAGCTTAAAGCTGGAAGAGACATTAAACATCATGTACCCATGCTGAGGAAGAATCCATGGCAAAAGCAGAATTGGCACTCTGATCTCCTATCCACCCAGTCCAAAGTTTTTGCCTTGTGCCACAAAGCCTTATTTCAAGCATATGTGTGCTCGCCAAACATTTAAAGATGCCATGTACTTTCATTTCCATTCTGTTTTTATGCCTTACTATTTGCTTAGTATTGTGGCAGCCTAGAAGAGTTGTTTTAAGCAGGGCATTAGTATCACAAACTTAGATTTGAATGCTGGCTTTGCTATTCACTAGCTGTGTGATCTCTCACCTTCAAAATATAATCTCATCTCCAGCCACAGTCCTGTGGACACATGTGAAATCATCAAAACAGAAACCAAATCTGACACTTCTCACCACCCATTGTTATCAGCCTGCGCCAAACCACCATCCTCTCTCTCCTGCACCGCTGCAACAGGCTCCTGACAGGTCACCTGCTTCTGTTCTTATTCCTCTGCAGCCTATTCTCCACTCAGCAGCCAAAGTATGCTTTTCAAACTGTCAATCAGATCAGAGCACTGTCCTGCACAAATCCTCTAGTGGCTTCCCCTCCCATTTAGCAGACCTCTGAGTTTGCTCTTGCTCACCCTGCACCAGCCACCCTGATCAGCTTACAGAGTGCTTCCTATCATTATTCTCTATCACTACACAATATTATTTCCCTTGGAACAGGTACCACAGTTTGTAATTGTGTGTTTGTTTACTTTTTCTTGCATATTTTTTTCCTCTAAACTGTAAATCTCACAAGCATCATAAAATATACAAAGCAAAAATCATGATTAATACATTTTTAACCTAATTTAGGTATTATGAAGGTTAATTCTCAAATTAAATTTTAAAGATGAAAGATATAAACCATTATTATTATTTTGTGGTATTTTAAATACACTAAATACTTTTACAGATCTTAGCTGATGTACATTGATTTCAGAATGATTTTGCTATAATGATTTTATACATATATGCATATATATATAGTTTTATTCATATAATTTGTATAATATTGACATATTATTTTGAGAAAAATTTTGGGTTATGGCTTTGAAGTAGTTTTATGGAAGAAAAGCATTTAAAAAGCTGATAATTTTATCATTGCCAATACTATACTACTGACTCAACAATTAATTTCCTCTGTCTCAGTATAGTACATTTAAGGGCCCAGATGCAATCTAATCTTTGTAACAGGTATGGAACATTTTGTAGGTAATTAAATATGTGTGAGTGGGTTTGTGTGTATGAATCTTTGTCTAGTTCAATGCAGGAAGATGGGCAAGGTCTACAATTGGGAGTTAAGAACCTTAGTTTAAACACTGGTCCTGTCCATTTCCAGCTGGGTGCTTTTAAGTAATTCATTTAACCTTTCTGAACAAGTTCATCATCATTAAAGCAGGAATAACATTAATCTTTATTGGAAGAAATCAATTCATCTAAATGTGACTGTTATTTGAAAAAGTTTCTTGTAACTATGCACTATGTATATGTGTTTAAGTTTACTCTTAGTACCAATATGCTGCAGGGGCATTTTTTCAGAATAATAATTCAAAAGGTTTTCCATTGTTCTTGTAATTGTAGAAATGTTTAAGGGCAGGACTAGAGTGGGGAACACTAAAAATTGATTCAGGAAAAGAATAACAATTTACTGTCTGTTTATATAATGAAAAGGTATTTTCCATCAATGAACTTCAAAGAACTCTGACATGTTTATTTATTTTCATAATATTTGAAGTGAGTTAGGTTAAAGTTGTCATCCTTTATGCTCTGAAAGGGAAATAAATACATAACAAGTTATGCAATCTGTTTGAGTCAAAATAAGACAAGGTTTCAATTTTGCCACATAGTGCTTAGAATGGATATTGTACTGCCCCCCACGATAAGCACCTTCTTTTGCTGGAATCATCTAAGGTTTGGTTTTATCAAAATATTTTCTGGAGCAAGCAATTAAAATATAGAAAATCTGTCATAAAATATCATAATCATTAACAGTCCGTTATCGTCAAATAGGCCACGTCAAGTGCCTCTAAGATGGAAGCATTGCATTGGTTTATACTTAATGAAGTTGAGTCTGCGTCCTCTCCTGAGGCCCCAGGAGCTAACTCTGTTGTGTATTCTAGGTCACCCTTCTTCTGCTTTCATCTTGGACCAGTATATTCACTTTCCTACTCCCCCTAAAACTTTAGCTTAGTCAGGACAAAATCATAGGACTAAATCTAGAGCTCTTTCTTTGGTTTTCAGAGTCTTTATTTTATGATTTGAAAACACCTTCCTTCCTCAGCTTCCAACTGCCTTTACCATTAAACGTCACTGAATTTCTTGCCATTTGGACACAAGGCAGTCTTTTTTCACTGCCCTGCCTTTACACTCAACATTAATTCCACCTAAAAGAGCAGTGACAAGAGGTTAAGGGAAGAAAGAGGAGGTTACAGATGTTAAATACTTATTTTGTGCTCTAATACAGTATCCATCTAATTTGCACAGCAAACCCATGAAGTAAGTAACCCTGAACTCCATTTTGCTGAATGGAAACTCATTTTAGTGCTATTATGTAACCTATCCAAGGTCACACAATTAGGAAGTGGCAGAAGTAGCTTTGGAACCAAAATCCAACTCCAAAATACATGTTCTGGCCTCTTTCAGATGCTGATTCTATTTCCCCATTGCTGTCATCTGGCATTATTCTTCAGATTCTACTTAACATTTTCTTCCCTCAGCTTCACAACATCTTCAAGATGAAGTTAGCTGCTCACATAGTTTATACTCCTTTATACTTTATGCTCACATAGTTTATACTCTGTTTATACTCCTCTAACAGTCCTTACCAGGTGTTTGCTTTTAATTGAGATATAATTCATATATTATAAAATTAATCTGTTTGAAGTGTACAATTTAGCATATATTCCCAGTGCTGTGTAACCATCACCAATATCTAATGCTAGACAGAACATTTCCATTATCCCAAGAGAAAATTCATGATCATTAAGCAATCATTCCCCATTTGCCCTTTCTGCAACCCCTGGCAGCCTCTCATCTTCTTTTTGACTCTCTGGATTTACCTTTTCTGGATATTTAACATAAATAGGATCATTCATAAAGTGGCCTTTTGTTTCTGGCTTCTTCTACTTAATGTTTTCAAGGGTTATCCACATTGTAATATGTGTTAGTATTTCATTCCTTTCTATAAATGAATACCATTCCATTATATGGATATATCACATTTTGTTTATCCATTCTTCAATTAATGGACATTTGGTTTGATTTCACTTTTTGGCTCTCATGAATAGTGCTTTTATGAACATTTGCTTACTAGTTTTTATACAGACATATGATGGGGTTTTAATTCTCTTTGTTATATAACTAGAGTGGAATTCCTGGGTCATCTGGTAACTCTACCGTTAACATCTTAAGGAGTTGTTAAGCTGCTTTCCAAAGCAGCTATACTACTTCACATTCCCAACAGCGATATATGAGGGTTATGATTTCTAGACATTTTCACCAATACTTGTTATTATCCCTCTTTTGATTATAGTCAACCTAGTGGGTGTGATGTGGTATCTCACTGTAATTTTGACTTGCATTTCCCTAATGACTAATGTTGAATATTTTTTCATGTTTTTAATTGGCCGTTTGTATGTCTTCTTTGGAGAAATATCTATTCAAATATTTTGCCCACAAAGAGAAATTGAGTTGTCCTTTTTTGTTCGGTGGCAAGATTTACTTATATATCTAAATACTAGTCCCTTATCACGTAGATGATTTGCAAATGTATTCTCTCATTGGGTGAGATGACTTTTCACTTTCATAATGGTGTCCTTTGAAATATCAGCATTTTTTATTTTGATGAGGTTCAATTTATTGTTTTGTTGCTGTTTGTGCTTTTGGTATATCTAAGAAAAATTGCTTAATCTAAGCTCACAAAGACTTTTTTTCTAAGAGTTTTATCATTTTAGATATTAAATTTAATCTTTGATCCATTTTGAGTTAATTTTTGTTAATGCTTTAGTTAGGAAACCAGCTTCATTCCTTCATATTTGACTATGCAATAGTCCTGGCATCATTTGTTAAAAAAAACAAAATTAAAGCAGAAAAATTGTTTCCTCCTTGGATTGTCTTGGTTCTTACCACATATTTTTAAATGAACAAATGTTTAAATAAACTGTGAGCTCCTGGAGGGCAAAGGTTTTTGTATTCCTACCTCATTGTCTAGCATGGGACTATGACATAATAAACCCTTAACAAAGAATGAAAAGCTGATTGGAGATTCCTAGTGTCAATGAACAAACACCAAGTGCCATAGACTTTGCTAGGTGCTGGGGATGTTTTATATGGGAAGTTTACAGTCAAGTGAATTTTTGAAACCTAAAGTTTCCAAGGGGTTCCAGAATTTTACAATCCTAGAAAGAAATGGGTCTTGGAAATTATGGACCTCCTCATTTTCCAGTAAGGAAAAGCTGACCTTAGGGAAAGGCTAAATAGCAGCCTGCAGCCTGTCTCATGTAAACTTGCCAAAGGGTCCCAGTTCTCTTTTAAATTACATCCTATTACAATTTAACAAAGGATTTTTTCAGTTAGTTCTTGATGAAGCATTTTTTTTTCAGTTAGTCCTTGATAAAGTCCTTTCCAGATGAAAGACAACTGTTTCTGTTTCATACCACACTTATCTTCTGAGATAACTGCTATCAGAGATTTTTTTAAACAATTCCTCCACTCTTGCTCTACATAATTACTTCTTTCTCTGAGTTTCTGTAGATCTTACTTGCTCTTCTACAAAATTAGCAACTTGTTTAGTACTCCCCTATTGGTTTGGATTGTCATATAATTTTGAATTGTTCTTTATCACTGGTTTAAAAGTGGCTTTGCTAATTAGACTGGCAAAAATTGGATTTTATACTTTACTTTATGAAATATAGAGCCTTATACCTAGTGGACATGCAGCAAGTGTTTCTTGGTATTATTTGCATATATAATGTGGGTAAAATGTAATATTTCCAGAATATCTCACCTGGCTTTAGTACATCTGCATATCAACAGGCTCTCAAGGGTGGAGAGAAGTATGGTTTTAGTGCATTTGCATCATTCCTTAGGGGTGGAGAGAAGTTCATCTCCATATCAGTGGGTAATTACCTGGGCAACGGGAGGGCTTATCTGTACCTGAGAGGTGAGGGGGAGGGCAGGTTTCACTTCTTCCGGAGCAGGAAAGAGAGAAATGGCCCTGGACTGCAGTTTGTAAGCAATAAACGGATTTTAAACTTTATTTCTCCCTTTGACTGATTTCAGTTTTTAGAGATATTTTGTCCCGGGATTTCCTTTCCCTGGACTTATAATAAATAACTCTTAAAAATAAGAAATGATTAGAGCTAAGTGTCATTCTGTTTTCTCCCCCTCGTACCGATGATAAAGCAGCTTATTCTTAGACACTTAGGGTTGGGGGGGCTCTAAGGGAGAAGTACCTTCTCTCATCGGAAAATTTTCCAGTGACTCTCTACTTCTTTCCTAGAGGAATGGAGAGACTAGAGACCTAATAATTAGCGCATATATAATTAAATGTTTCTTAATATTACTATTAAAGTTTTAAAATTCTATTAAAAGGATAAAAAAGACTGACACAATTCCTCCAAGAACCCAATAAATTAAACTAACTCTCAGGAGAACTCTGAGTTATAGTTTTAAATCACTGAGTCAGAAAGTAGAGAAAGACATCCTGTTTCTCTTCTTAGCTCGAGCCTTGCTTCCTAGTTATGAGGT